CTGTATGGCCGGAGAATTACCACCTTACCCCACCCCCTTTACGAAGCCGACGAGTTTCGTGATCCTATCTATGAATCCGAACCTAGTAACATTGATGTCCAAGCAAAATTGAGAACACACCTAATACAACACTTTTGGAAACGTTGGCGTCAAGAATATCTGACGAGCTTACGGGAATTTCATAAAACCACTGGAAACAATTCAACCGAGATACGTGTTGGTGATGTCGTTCAAGTACACGATGACATGAAACGTGTTAACTGGAGACTTGCTGTTGTACAAAGTTTAATCAAGGGAAAAGACGGACTAGTACGGGCAGCAAATATCAAAACAAGTACTGGACATACGAACAGACCAGTAACTAAACTTTACCCACTCGAAGTTAAATCCACAACAACAGAGAACCCAAAGATCACCATTGACGAAAACCTAGACGCAAAGAATCCCTCAACAAATCCTCACCCAGCTGACGTCATAGATCAAACGTCAAGCAGACCTGTTCGAGCAACAGCACGATTGGCAAAGGAGAAATTGAAGCAGTGGACATCCATATTCTCGCGCCCTCCGGAGGATGTCGAGAATTGACAGTACTTTGAACATTATAGATATCTTGCACGCATTCTAATATAAACAGTTCATTATTAATATCTTATATCGAACACGGTTAGTTAATTGAACTAGGATAGAATTACACTTGCACTAGGATAACTGGGACATTCAGGATAATTTGATAATCACCTTTTGTTGTATATAGTTTTCGCACTGGCTTTTGAGCTTGTGTTAGTGTAAATAATACATATTCAAACTATGGTGTAGATCGTCCTTGATTCTATCGAAAGAACCTACGCTACATTAGATCTCGTTATCGTCGTAGACAAGTTAACACAACGCAAGACAACTCTATAGCTTATTTCGAGTGACGAACGAGACAGTCCCTGAATATAGAAATACCAAGTCAATTTTTGTCTCAATGGCAATTATCGTTTTAATGGCACCTTCAAGGCTACCCCTATTGCAGAATAATTTAATAATCTGCTGATGGAGAGACAAAATCTATTCATTGACATTTTTGTTCAATATGTCAGCTTCAGATGACACCATTCATTGTAATGATTAAGTCACTAAGATTGTACTCAATCTGAACAGCAAAATTATGCAATAAGAAAGAAATTGTGAGCATTAATTATTGAAAAATATAGTATACCCTGAAATCAGTGAAATGTAGTGACACAGCCAGGTGAGTATAGGAATGTTAATCACAGAATAGGGCCTGACACAAAACCTATCTAAACTGTGAGATTCCCGTCCACCAGATGGACGGGAAATCTGATTGGTTGATCAGCATCATGAAGGATTTTGATTGGTTGCAAGTTCACATAAACAACAGTTTTAAAAATAGCTCGGTCAAGGGCTCAAGGTGACAATTTAAATAAAGGTCAAACGCAAGTAACAAATTCCATTATCGATTTCTTTGAATTTCTTTTCTTTTATGCTTTATGGCAGAAAATAAATGAAACAAACAGTATTTTGAAAGGGCTTTATCAAAATCTTTGACGAATTTCGGACACACGATGCTGAAAGAACAGCCAAACTAGTCATGCATTCGAAAGCTTATTGTTGACAGCCAAGATGTTCTGCCAACTGGCTTCGCCGGCAAAAGTCTTATTTTAATATCAGGTCCTACCAGCGGTGTTTTCGTCGTGGTACGATTGAGAATTTCATTGTTGCTGTTGTTAGCCCGTTAGAGTATATCCGCGTCCAGCAAGTTAAGACCTTGAGAAAGCTTGGCAGTCAAGCCGTGCACAGAACTGACTAATTAAATCTTTGTTTGCTGTTCGGTTAAATAGAGAAACTGACTCTTAATTATATAAAAGTACCTTGAATTTTTAAGTTTAATTAAAAAGCAAAATACACACTTATAATAACTCTGCGGACATGTTCATGAGAATATAAATTGTTTGTGTAACGAAATCTACAACACTTGTCAATCATATTGCATGTTGTGTCTAAAAATAACATGTGGGCGTCCCACGGTCTAGACAGGTTTTGTGTCAGGCCCTATTTCAAATTAGGGCCTGAACTTCAGGTTATAGGAATGTAGGCTGGTAGGATTATTTCATATTATGCTATGGATGGACATATCTCAGAGATATAAGCAGTTAAAGCAGACCATTATATTTTGTACAAAAGTTGATTGACAAATTTGACATGCTGTTACCTAAGGGATGAGCCGATTAATCGGTAAATAATCGGCAAAGCCGATTACTCGGCTGTTCGGTAATCGCCCGATTATTGCCTGATAATCGGCAAATAATCGGCTATAAGACTTTTTCTGCAGCTGCCAATCACATGCTAAAATACTGAATACAAGCGAATAGATTTTCTCATTTTGTTGCAAAACCTGTGTCTTTTGTCTCAAGCGAAGTGAAGCTGGGAACATTTCCACTAAAAAAACGCAGCAGACTAGCTCCGCAATGGCATAGCTAACAGCTGGTGTCTTGTTTTTACACCATAATCTGCCAAAACTAAAGTTTGACTATATTGACATGCGAGACTGAAGCTGTTTTTAATTGTACAAAGTGTGTATTGTAAACAATAAAACCGCATTTCAAACTTCATTGTTGGTCATCTTGTGATTTTTCTCTTGCTTTTTACAATAATCGGTGGGTACCGATTAATCGGCCGATTAGTTCCAATAATCAGCTTATAAATAATCGGCCTCAGTAATCGGCAATTTTCCTTATCGGCTCATCCCTAGCTGTTACATGTATTAAACTGCTGGTAAATTAATAATCATGTGTTGCTAGTATAGGTATCTTATTAAGCCTAATTATGATACATCTAGAATGAACACAAAAAACTCATCGCCACACAAACAAATATAAAACTAAAGGTACATTTTGACTCCTTGTACATATATAAAATATTGAGATTATTGTCTATTGACGAATCGAAGCGAGTACCCAGGGTCTGAAATTTGCAGTATCCCGATATCCACGGGATACTAAAATTTGATTTTGGATACGAAAATGTGAATGACTTATATCCCAACTGGATACTAAGAAAATTTCAAACATTAGGAAAATGTTAAGCACCTCTGACAGTCTCCTGATAGCTTTTGAATACTATGAGTTTGCCACCCAAGCCTTTCCCCATATAATGTGCATTTTTGTGGATTAATGAATTGTCTAGTTATTGACAACTTGACTGTTGAATCTCCTGTTGTTATTGTAATTTGTAACAGCGAGAGTTATTGGATGGGACAGGGTATAATACTTATGGTAACCAGTATCCAGAAATGGGATACTGGATTCTCAGGGGGGATACTAAACTTTGAATCCTGGTATCCCAGTTGGATACTGAAAAGATATTTAAATTTCAGACCCTGGAGTACCGACTCGAAGCGGGTTTTATAGCTAAACCTCGAGCTGAACAGCATATGTAAATATAATATGTAAATAATAAAATGGCTTCATGGTATATCACCAGAATTAAAGCATCTGATATAAAGTCATCCTTACCTGATTTATTCAAAATGTTGTCGATCGTTTCCATTGTGCAAATCCAACAAACTGTATGTATTAAAATATAAAGCTCGACACCCAGGTCTAAATTAATCAAGCCATCATCCAGTGCTTTTAAATACATTTTGTCTCCTTTCAATAAGACATTAGTAATGTTGATTTTGACCAATTAATCAGCGGATTATTTTCGGCTGCAGAAAATATCCAATAAACTCATAAAAGCACATTGCTTTCCTCTAGATAGAACACTAAAAAGTTCATCGCCTTGATGTATATTAATGGAAAGAAATAAAGCCATGCTTACCTACGTTTTTTCTGAAAGGTTTCGATCGCTTGAATTCCATGTAGACATTAAATTTTGAACACATGGGCACACATGGGAGGTAAAATGCGCGCGCACACGATTAGAAAATATTTTGTTCACTCCCCCACATTTTAAAAATGACTTGAAGCTCGACTTTTTGCCCGGATTTGGACAGACCCATCCACCGACGCGAATTCGACTTCTTGACAATACATAGTTCGTGCAGGAAACTGGGTCGAGTGAACTCTGGGAAATCAAAAGCAGGTCGAGAATAGTGTGCTGCCTCGCTAATTACAGGAAAAATGGAAAATGCAAAAATATTAAAATATGAAATTTATGGGAAATTTTAAGACTACATTAGCACAGAATACTAACCAGAAAGTCATCTCTATTGTTTTTTGTGCTATTCGTCATCGATCCGCCCCTCAGCAAGTACCGTAAACGAAGTATTTACCCCCTGGAAATACCCAAAAACGGCAATGACGTCAGGGGGTGACTGCTTCTGTTTACGGTACTTGCTGAGGGGCGGATCGATGACGAATAGCGCTTAGGCAAAACACAATAGAGATATGACTTCTAAACCTGCGTAAAAAGAAGAGACTACTTGCAGTCTAGAATAGGTTAGTATTCTGTGCTAATGTTGTCAAAGTCCTCTGGGTTGCCTGCACCCTACCCCCAACCCCCCAAATGTTAAAAAATTTCCGTAAATTTCATATTTTAATATTTTCCATTTTTCCTGTAATTTACATTTTCGGTGGTTTCGGTCATTTTGTTTCGGTCGTTTTGTTATTTGCCTTTTAGTACATGCACACCAGTAGCAGTGTAAAGCCTTTTTTTGACATGAGCTGGTAATGATTCAGAGAATTTCCAAAAAATAAAAGGACGCCTGAAGTCAAAATGAAGTTGAAAAAAATTCCAATCAAATTTTTAACGTTTCCAATTGGGCCATATTTTTCGGATCGATTTTGAAAATTACAAAAAATAACTAAAAATATGTGCTTCAGGTTTCATATCTGAAAAAAGTCGGATAGGATAGGTCGGAAAACAAATTTTCTTCAAATACTTTTTGGTTTGACATTGGTTAGCAATTGCCGTGATAAGTTGGCATATTGCCACAACATATAAACATTTCAAGAAGCAATAACTGTAGACAACGGACACATCTGTTTCAGACTCAAAAATACGCACTAGTAGCAGTGTAAAGTAAAGCCTTTTTTGACATGGAACTGGCAAGGATTCAGAGAATGCTAAAAAAAAATTAAAAAGGACAGTATTAAATTTAAAAGCATATTAACTTGATTTAGGTGGAAAAAAATTCCAATCAAATTTTAACATTTCCAATGGACAACTTGCATGTTAGACTAAATTTTAATCTAAGTAAAGAGAAGGGAATAAAACACAACAGTTAAAAAGAAAATAATGAAATTAGTAAAATTGCAAAATTTGGTTGCGAAATGTTGGAAATTGCAGAAAATATTAGCTTGCGAAGTTTGCATATTTTCAGTATATTTGTATTACGTGCGGGTAATTGTTACCATTTTCGGCTCAAAAATGGTAACAATTTCCGCACGCAATACAAACATACTGAAAATATGCAAACTTCGCAAGGCTATAGTTTTTACATTTTACAACATTTCGCAACCAAATTTTGCAATTTTACTGATTTTAATAAGTTCTTTACGTGAATTTACTTTTTTTGGCCTAAATAAAAAATTAGACTAACATGAAAGTTGTCTATTGGTCGGCATTTTTCTGATCTATTTTGAACATTATAAAAAATATGCGTTTCAGGTTTCATATCCTTTTTTCAGGTAGGATAGGTAGGTCGAATAAAACACATTTTCTTCAAATATTTTTTGGCTTGACATTGATCAGAAATTGCCGTGATTTGTGCCAATATTTCCACAACATATAAACATTTCAAGAACCAACAACTGTGGGCAACAGACAATATATTTGACATAAAGTTATGGAAAATAGGGTTGACTGGAAAATATTTTTTGTTTCAGTCTCTGGTGCTATGCACATGTTCATATTGAGTTTTTCATCTCCCTAGCCAAGCTATTCATATCCTCATCAAAATTTGCATAAATTTTTATAGATGTTCGGTGCAAGTTCCAAGAATTTTGCAAGCCCCTGCCTCAAGATCTCATGATTACAAAAAATGGACACATTCCAAGATCCTGAATAAGAGGTAAATTGTTTTTCTTCTAATTATTTCTAACCTTCTCCTTGTATTTCTTGGACAATTTTCTTTGTAATATATTAATTTGTTTCATGTTCTCAATAGTGAGTTTTTAAAATTTTCTAGATGTGTGTTGCAATTTCCAAGAAGTTGTTGGCTGAAGTGTTTTTGATCACAAAAATGAACACCGTCATTGGAAAGTATATAAAAGGTCTTAATATTTTCCTGTCTTATTTTACATGAAATGCTTTGAACATTATGTGATTGCTTGTGATCTGAAATAGTTTCAGAAATCCCTGCAGAATATTGCAAAAGTATAATGACCATCTTATTTATGACATAAATTCAACAAAAATAACAGACACAATCTTTACACCTTAATTAATATGGTCAGTGCATAACAATTGCACCCTGTTTATTCTATTATTTCACCACTATTTCAACTTGTATTAATTAATTTGGAAAATGTCAGTTTTGTGGTCCCTCGATTACTTTAAGTTTTGTGTTGCCACCAATCACAGAAAGTCTATAATTTTCAAAGCATATAAGCATTTTATGAGCGAGCCAGAAAATGACAAACTGTCTGTGTTTTGAAAAATTGTGTTTAACAGTGACAATTCGGTTTGGACATATATTTTTTCTGTTTGGCATAATAGCTAAATCTTAAAGCACAGAACATATAAATTTGTGTTGATCTGTGTTCTATCTGAGAACATAGTTATTTCTACATATTTCCTAATTACGTTTTTGTCAAATATAAAAAAAATGAAAGTTTGTCATTATTTGGCTTTGTTACATCAGTTAAACGTTGAGAAGATTGAGGTGGTTTTTATAAGAAACCAAAACGGTTACTTACAAATAAGACATATGACTTTATTAGTTTTAATTCAGGATTTTATTTCAGTCCTCTTTCATGTTTCGGTATTAATTTGGAGCATGTTTTCATTAAAAGATTAAAAGAACACTGATTAAGTCATTAACATTTGTCTCATTGTACTTTTTGTTTTGAACTTGTCGAACTGCATTGTGAAAACATTAACTTATGTTCCTTCTCAATCTTCTCTTGTTTAATTTAAGTGGACTTTAAGTGTTTGTTGAAAGTTTGGAAAGTTTATCTGAAAATCACAATGTTTCTTTCAATGTTGATTCTGCGTGTTATTTGAGTCTTGAAATATTGAATCTTAGAAAAAGCAATTAGTGATCAATTGAAGAATACAATACTTTTAAAATTAGCACTGTTAGAACTGCCTCGTTGTTTAACAGTCCTGTCTTATTTATCCCAGCACACTCTTAATACATGAGTTTGATTATTCCTGGACACAAATAAAATGGATTTGTTGAGGAACAAGGCAGTTCTATACAGTACTGACTTATAGGAGGGTTGTGTTCTTCAGTTGTTTTTTATTCTTGTGCCAACCAGTTATCAACAAAAAATTCTTCAGTTTTTTTTTTTTATTCTTGGGCCAACTGAATTTTGGAACAAGCTTTGTGATTTTTAAAAACATTTTCCCAACTTTAAAACAAACAGTTAAGGTCGAGATAAGCTAGGATATTGCCTTTACTTCATTACAAAGTGGAACTTATTTGAATATGGATGAACTGAAGCAGCAAACTATGCTTAATTTGGAGGGAATGTGAGATGGAGAAAATAAAATTGATTATTATGCATGGCAAGGAAAACCACAACCAGACTACTGCATGATGTTCTTTGGAATATGTTTTGTATTATAGGGAAGGAAAAACAATCAGCATTCAAAAGTATATATTAATTAACAATTATTTGCCAAAGGAGAAGTGATTTTCGGTGAATAAAAACGTAGACAAAGTCGAGGGTTTTATTCATGATAATCACCAAAGCCTGGTGAATAATTGTTTTAGTATAATTTCATAGGTGATTATTTGGAAAAAAAAATTTTTAAATGCACATTTCTTCGTCATTTAATTGCAAGGTAAAGCAATCCAATAATTGGAATATTGAGGCTAAAGATAATATCGACAGTTTGTTGTGCTAGGTGTTAATACATAATTTGATAAGATTTGAATCAAAATTCAAGCACAGAATTAACTATATTTTTAGTATTCGTCAAAATTTGTGTGTGTTTCATCAGTTTCACACACAAGATATGCAATGACTGAGGTGCTCTTTATGTACCAAATTTTATAATTTGAAAAAAAAGTTCTAGATTTTATAAAATGGTATTTTTACTTAAATAATCTGACCTGCAACCCTAATATTTTTAAGTATGAAATTTTTTAAGCTTGAATTTCATATTTTATTTCGAATCACAATGAATTAATTTTCTACTTTGGTTTGGATACTGAGATGAGAAGATTTATTTTTTAAATTTTTATTGGCTGGTTGTGGTTAATAATTAATTTGTTAGTTTTCTATGTTTACATGTATTTCTTTTGCTTCAGTTCAACATTATTTTCAAATAGTTCCACTTTGTAATCGTGTGTTATAATAGTTATAATAGTCAAAATAATAATATAAGCAAACAGGTTTACATGGCACTCGAACATGGTCTTTTCAACGAGTATGTAGAGGTAAGTTTATACTTCAAAAAGGTCTGTTTCTAACCTGACAAGAATTTCGTCCAAAATTAACTAAAACTCAATATTTGTGACCTTTCAATGAAATTTCATAAGTTCAATCAGCAACTGCTACTACTGTATTTGTCTTTTGATGTTTGTGTTTGGTTTGCTTAAATGTTGATACTAGAAATTGATGAAAATGCAATATAATATTTTGTTTCTTGAGATTCTAAGAATTGTATGGAAACTGATTGTTCCTTCGGAGGACTTTGATCAAAACTGTTTGTCTACTTTTGAGTTAACAAAGGTTGTCTACTTTTGAGTTAACAAAGTATACCCATGCAAAACTTAGTTTCCATTTTTTATTAAGCAAGACAATAAGCTGTTTTCCAATTGAAAATTACCTTTTGGTTTTGACCAATATAAAGAAAAGTGTAAAATATAAGAAAATATTTTTTGAACATTTGAAAGTTTGGTTCAACCACATTTTGTAATTGTGTGTTTCTGTAGGGTCGTGAAACCGGAAACCCACATATTTCTTTTTTTGGCCTCGCTACATGTTTTGCATAAAAAATGTTTCCTGTTTTTTTAAATATATAAATAATATAAAGCAGAACAACTTTTCCCTGGATGAAATTTAGGAGATATTTGTTTGTAGTGGACGATGTGTACCGGGTATCATTTTATTGTATTTATCCAGGACGAGAAATGTACCATTTTCTTAATTAAGCAAAGCAAATTGAAATTGAATTTTTGTTCGAAAAACCAATCGGAATTGGAGAAATAACATTCTTTTAAAATTTTGTTGAACTGCATTTTCATCACTTGAATTAGTATTAACATTATAAATCAATTCAAAGTTGTCAGGTTAAAAACGACGCTCAAAGATATATGGCTCCGAAAGACCGCGGGATAATTTCAAATTCTTGATTTATACATGTTCAATTGAGTATGGAACCAATGATCTAGTCGTAATGTTTCGATGTTTAAAAATGTTATTTCGGAGTTTAATGAAGTATGCTGTCGGTGCATTGTCAAAATGTTAGGGACCGGTCATTATTTATGGTGGGAGGTGGCACCGAAGAGAATTGTTTCTCGTGGTAAAAATTTTGCTGACCCAACCATTAAAAAGACAAAAAATTGATTACCCAACCTCAAATATAAATTGAAAAATAATTACCCACCCCTGGCCAAAAACTTTACAAAAGGATACCATTCAGTTGTCACACATGTCTTTTACCACTTCTATGACACGAGTTTGATAACGGCTTGTGAAATTTTCTGCAGTCTAAAGTTTCATGTTGTCTGCACATGTAGTTTCTTTGGAGACACCATTTGTTTTGTCAAAATGATCAAGATAGTGACTCTGATTGATTGATTCACGTATTGTATTGACAAATGACTGTTGACATTGCTTTTCAGTCTCCAATATTTCAGTGGGTCATGCATTGGAAATGACAATAAATTTTTATTACCCAAACCTTGAGTTGTTTTGTTTTTCATTTACCCAACCTTTTACTTACTCAAAATTTAGTAACCTTTTTCTCTTCGGTGCCACCCCCCGCCATAAATAATGACCGCTCCCTTAAGGCACTTTGAGGAAATTAATTTTCTTCAAGCAATGGAAACTGTTGTCAACGCAGTGTGACCCATTGGTATGACCAGATTTTTTCAGTGGCCATTACCAAAATTTTCTTCAGATTTTACTAAATTAAGAAAAAATTTACCAAATGTGGCTTCCCAAATAATGACGTCGTAGTAATGCCAAAAAAACAATAGTTAATGTCATCCAAGTAGAAAAAATATGCCCAAAAAGGTATCTCTAATACTTGTTGCTTTCATCGTATTGCAGTTTTTGCTAATGATAAGGCTTTATTTCTTAGGCTTGGCAGTTCTGTTCATCACTTTGAGCACGTTATTAAACAAGAAACACCATTTTTACCAAAATGATTATTAATAATTAAAACCTTCAAGATTTTACAAAAAAAACCAACAAATTGTTCTTGAAAATTAACGATGAATTTTACCAAAAGTAAAACTTTTTACCAAATCTGGTCACACTGTCAGTCAACGACAATGTCTTGCCAACCACGTGACAACTGATCTCGCACTGGAACGAATGGACTTCACTTAGCATCTAGACATCGCGATAAAATCATTATTTTCCATACTCAAGCGAAAATTTTGGTCACTTTGCCAAAAACAGTTAGTTGTATTAAAAAAAGTAAAAGCGTGTCTGATTTACTTTGTCTTTGAGCCATATATTTTATTTGTAAAACAACCTGGTGTTACGCTTTCGATTTCAATATTTGTCATTAGAGTTGTTTTACATTATTCGTTTTGAAGTATAAACATTTATCTTGAAAAGACCAGGTTCTCTTGTTTCCTCAAGAATTAACATTTTTAATGTTAATTCGCGGGCAAACAAGTTTTTAATGTTGTGTTTTCACTTGTGCTTATTCACTTGTGTTAAACACAATGTTAATTGTTCTCTTTGTGCCATGTTCTGTTTTCTTCTATTGTTATTTAAATAAGTACAGTATGCAGTGGTTGTTCTCTTTTTATTGTTATTCAAATTGTAAAATTACAAGTTCTTTTCAATAAATTGTTTATTAATTATACAAGAGACTCCTTTTTAATTCAAAATTCAATTCCCATGGGAATTGAAAAAAAAAATTAAAAAAATCCCTCTACCCCGGCTGGCTCCCCAAGTGCTACCTCTACTTCAAGCAGAAGCAAAAGTACTTCTACTTAAAGTAGAGGTAGCACTCGGAGAGCCAGCCGGGGTAGCGGGGCGAAGAAGGGAAGACCAACCTTGCAAATGCTAATGCAAATTGCTAAGTTGATCTTCTCTTGAGAGCAGCCACGCGCATACCTGGCGAATGTAAAACAACAAACATTAGTAACAAATACTCGACATGCAAATTTTGAATCCCATGGCCGAAATGACAAGTGCCCCCCACTGATTCCTACCAACTGCCTCAATCCTAAGCTGTCTGCCTCGTTCCTAAGCTGTCTGCCTCGTTCCTAAGCTGTCTGCCTCGTTCCTAAGCTACCTGCATTCCATTCGTAACTTCCGCTTTCCTCACCATCTCACTGACACTCACAACTGCCCAACCTGCCACCACCCGAACTGCCCACCCTTAAAACTGAAGGAATTAAAATTTTGGTAAAATATATTGCATAATTAATTTAATTATTCGGATATTTTAGGCCAAACGCAAACAAAAAAATTAAAGGTTGACGATTAAGAATGACCGCGTAGACAAACAGGTGAGTTTCTTACTTGCCTCTAACATGAAATTTACATAGAAGGCCATAGAAAAATATACGAAACCTCGAAATCCGTATTTTTCCTTCTATATGTACTTTACTATTGTTTTGGTTTAAATAACGAAACTCGACTAATTTTGCTGATGTTAGGAAATTAGTTATTTTGTTCAGAAAAGATATATTTTCTCTTTAAATATGCTCTCAAAATTTTAATTCCTTTAGTTTAGCTTAACCCCATGCATCTTATACACACGGCGCACACTCTCACACTCCATACATTTAGCTAGTAAATTACGTTATAAACAAAAAAGCAAAATAAAAAAGATAAATTACGTTATCACTAGCTATCCTATAACCCACTTAGACTAAGTTTTGGATTCTGGTTCGAAACGTAACATCTTAATTGAAAGGGCATGGGCTTGAGTTTTGTTAACTGGTCCGAAGTTAATACAAACCTTAAACTTACCTAAACCAAAGGCTCGATTAAATAAGCATGAGAATGCATAGAATTATTTTTAAAACTTTTCCATAAGAGTTAAAAATCCAAACGAAAATTAAAATGTCGCTAATTTAGGGAGCATATATATATAGTATTGTTTATCTATATAGTTCAAACAGATCGAAACAGACTTAACCGCAATTCTCATACTCATTTAACCGGAACGTCTTGATGATCATTTGCATGGCACGTCGCAGCTGCTCTCAAACCCGCAAGTGACAAGATACTTATCATATTTAATCAAAGAGGATTCATTATAAAGTCAAACTTCCACTATGAAATCAACATCAACATGAAAACAAAGCATATAGTATATTCCCCTGGGAATTAAAAATACGGAAAAAATAATACCTTTACGCTTGCGCAAAATAAAAAATTAACATAAAAAACGAAGTATATTATATTCCCATGGGAATTAAACACACGAAAAATAAATCCGCCAATTCTTAACTTTTTAACGCTTGAAATAGAGTTGCTTGTTTTCATGGTATGTTGATATATAAGACTTATCCCATAGTTAACAGAATATAAACATGGATATGGACCGCATCTGACGGTAATTTTATTATCAATACCAACTGACGATGAAAAAGAGGAAATGTTTGGTGCTAGATTCCAAGCTATGTTTATTTTACATTAACTATGGGTGACGCGGATTAATATTTTGTTTTCAGAAAAGACTACGATCGAAAATACTCCAGGCAAGATTTCATGCTTTTAAGGTATTGTTGCTTCGATTTTTTATACAAACAGTTCTCTAGTATCAATTTTGGAAACGTTTTTGTTGTTCAAAACAAATTATAAAATGATCCGTTACCATACATCTAGCTCGTCGCAAAACACTGCGTTATCGCGTTTTTGATAGTTTTACCCAAACGTTTCACCTGATTTTGAGGACAATTATTTCTATACTCCGTAAATTGGAAAACAAAGTCGAAAGATTTGGTAAACTCGTGGCATGCTTATTTTCAATGAGAAAATCGTTGTATTCACTTGAATCCCCTTTGATCTTTAAATAAGTATTTTGTCTTTAACTAACTTACATTGGTAAAATTTTTCGCTACTTTCATATTAGCAATGTTGTTGTTTCTGATATTGTTGCGAATCGTCATTCTTTTCTTGGCTCCATGCCATTCGTGAGTGGTTCTTTTTGGTCTTTTCATCATCTCTTTTCATCACGTCGTCAGTTCATCATATCACCTTTGAAATTAAAAAAGTATCCATGAGTCCATGAAATAGGATCGAATCATGTTAAAGGCACAGTTCGGCCTTTTGAACGATGGTTTTTAAGGCGCATTTCAGCCCTTTTAATTGAAAAAACTAACTAGGAAAATCAATTAAGCATAATTCAAGATCAGCAAACTTTACGTTTTTAACATTTTAAAACATTTTTATTGTTAAAAACATTGAGTTTACTGACCTTGAATTGTGTATAATTGATTTTCCTAGTTATTTTTTTCAATTAAAAGGGCTGAAATGGCCTTAAAAACCATCGTTCAAAAGGCTGGACTGTGCCTTTAAAGGCTTGAGTGATATTTGGTAGAAAAGAAACTTAATGTCTATGTAAATTGTCAGGACTTCACCAAATTTTAGGCTCCGGCACCAATTCTCAACGGCATTTATTATCGCATAATAACAATTTTGCGTGATATTTCATGTTTCAAATGATCAATTAATATTATTAATGTATATAATTAATAATGTCGATGATAACCTAGACCCAGGCCCTTTACTCGGCAGGTTTTGGTCAATTTTGGGCTAGCATTTGGTAAATATGACGTCACATGCTTTTGGCCATCCTCTGGCCAGCCCCCAGTCTTCTCATGTGATAAAGCACCGAAATTAAAAAATAGAAGGTGTAGGCTAACAGATTGTTTCATGCATGTGACGTCACGGCAACCATTTTGGAGGGTAATATCCAGTGGTGGGGACTAAGTTGTAGGACGAATTTGTGTTACCATCATACGGTCACCCATCGTACTTCTTGTTGAAACAACAGAAAGGTGGGAATTTTGTCTGCGCACGCATCAAAGTTAGCGCGGTGAACAGATAGGAGATCTGGGGAGGGTAAATATTACATTTGATATTTGAGCGTTTTATTTCTTTTTTGGCCTAGTTCTTTTCTACTGAAAAAATGTTGTTATTTAATAGTTCATTAGGAAAGTTTCCAACGGAAAATCGCAAATTTACCTATCAAAAATACTTTGACTAGTAAACGAAGAAAGGTCCAGTACATTTTTGCGAAAACAAATTTATATTTTTGTGAATCTGCTGTTCACCAGAAACGACCAGAAAAGAACTCAATAACTTTTAAAATAATTTTTCGAATGCGCCAAAAATTATTGATCAGCGCCGACAAAATTCGTACCTGTTGAAACAACGCGAAATAATGATAGTGCATGATACTTAAATATCGAAACAACGTTTTGGAATTATAGTTGTTGGTATAGGCATTTGTACGGTTTCGCACGAGTGTGTTATACAAAGACGATCAAAATTGCATGAGTCTGAAATACGAGTGCAGTCTGAAGTCTTTGAAAAACCACGTGGAAAACTCGCGAGTGTATGTTTTTATCCATTAATTTTTTTCGGTTTTTAATGAGAAACGACTAAAAATCGCTGGAATGATTTTTGATTTTCTCTTACCTTGATAAAACTTGTGTTATTCTCATCTTGGCGATGTTGCAGGATCTGTTGGTTGTAGGTCTTCATCTGAAATGAAAGGATATTTCACCATCAGTAACAAAATAGATTGAATATTTTACTACACATGTCATAGGAAACGTTTACTCAATATACTTTTAAAGATAGGAACGCTGAAATTTCAAAAGTAAAAATAAAAGTCAGGGTGTAGCAAATCACACAGAAATAAAGGAAGAACTGAGTAACAGCGGTGTCCACACACCGGGAGGCGCAGGTGGTCAAACAAGCTATATATTGCGTGATATATAAGGAAAAGATGATTACATAATTGAGTCTCCAGCTGCAGAAGGTGGTCATATGATATTGCCAATCAAATTCCCCCACCCCCACAATATTTGGCGAAGTGTCCGCTACGACTGAGTAAGAATAATAGGGTGTAGCAATCAACATGAGTATTTAAAAATATTTAAATTGTTACAGAAGCGTGCACCAGCAAAACTTACATTCAATGTATTTTTACATTGTCGTTGCTTCTGTTTTGTTGGTCAGCGGTTCTTCATTTGTGTTGTCGATGATCATGCGTGCTCCGCTCAATTCACAGTCAACCACCATAAAAAAGGGAAAAAATTCTGTTAACAAGCGCAACGATGGGACTTGCAAGTGGATTTGAACGCTAAATTTGACTTAATTGTGTAGAACATAAATAACAGTGACAAACCGTACATTTGCTATCATCTTTGGATAGTTGTGGCTTCTTTTGGTCGTCATTCCGTCGACGTCTTCTACCACTTTCTCATCTGCTTGTTCCTCTTTGCTCTCGCTTTAATTGTGTCGTCCAGTTGTTGCCTTCATATCACTCTACCAAAAAAATGCAATAAAAATGTTAGGAAAAATTTAAAAAGAAATGGCAAGAGGATTCTAAGATGTAGGGCAGACTTTTTGAAAAATTGTTACTTGTTGAAAAACAACTAGCATCACATAAGCAACCCAGCAAATATATGTATTTACTTAAATTGCGTTTCAAGACATTTAAAAATGCGCATATAAAGTTTGTCTAACTGTGCCATCTAGCGCTTCATTGTGTAGTTCATTATGCATGTATATGTATCATTATGCATATACCTGCATATTATGCATATACATTATGTGGATATACACTCAGAGTAACATCACAAGCGTATCCAAGGCGTTTTGTATCTGAGATTTTTTTCCAGAAGTTTGCGTTACTTTTGTTGTTTCAAGCGACCGTATTAATGTGTGTAAATGTATTGAGTGAAAGAGTTGCCAGCCTTGGGATATTATACTATATGACAATACAATGACGTAACCATGCGAGTCTGCATACGTAATGAGCTACATAAAGCGCTATATAGCAAAGTCAGACGAACTTTATGCGCATTTTTAAATATTTTAACGCGTTTTTAAGTGAATACATATATTTGCTGGGTTGTCTATGCTAGTATCTGAGTTCTACAGAGTGTCTAAAAAAACGCAATGGAAATTCAACAGGCTGCTTTCCTTCATAAACAATTCTTTTTTACATACGACGAAAGCTAGTACGTGCAGTTATTTAGCTTTTCAATGATACTCGTTTTAAATCGTAACGATGAAAAATGGCCACATACTCGTCAAATAAAAATTGCCGGTCGAAATCACATTCTTCCACCGTTCGGGGAAATGGGGAACTGTATGGAAAACAAAACATAAGTCGTGTTTACACTACCAGCCTTGGCCTGGCCTTGGCCTACATTTTGACAATGTAAACAGACTTTGGCCTGACCTAGGCCAGGAAATCTGGGCCCACTACAACCGGTGGCCTAGGCCTAGCCTTGTGGAAATGTATAAACACTTTCGGCCCTGGGCCTTATTTTCATGGCAACGTGTGTCCTCAGTGAGAGATTAGCCGACAACCAGCGGACAATGTCACAACACATAAAAATACACAAAATTAATTACAAAATTCTAGGCCAAAGTGAGCCAGTTTCAAAAAAATAG